AAGGAGACTCGCTGAGGCGTGCAAAACTTCTCTCAAAGAGCACAGAGCACAGCTCATGAATGGATCGGAGTGGAGGCGGGGGCGCGCAGTGCTGCCAACCTAGCGGCTTGAAGATCTGTGAATAAAGCCTGCATAAAACACAGGACTGCCTTAAAGCTCATGGGCACTGTCACTAAAAGGAAAGTCCCAGCTACCTTAATGTTTGGTTTGGGGTTTTTTGAGACTTTAGTGTTCCCTTGTTCCTTTTGCACTCATGGGAGCTAAATATCTTCCTCTCTCTCAAAATTTACAGCAGAAATCCTCATATTATTGCAGGATCTCAGGCACTGGGGTTCCCAGAAAGCCTCCAAATAACAGGAGACTTCCTAAAAAATTGAAGTTGGCTGTAGTTTGGGAAGAGGAATGAACGGGAGAGGGGTGCAGGGCTCTTGGGCTTGCCTCAGGGTCGCAAGTCCAGCTTTGGTAACAACTGCGCTGCAAATTCAGACACTAGTCCTTCAACTGGATCTCTTTGTATGACCTTCAGTGTTTACCTGGAGCCCTTGGACGTCAGTGGGGAGCTGCACGGCTGCAGTTTTCAAGCCCAAGTGGGGGCATTTTTCAGGTTCGTGAAGCCCACATGCATCTGCCACATGAACAGGCTAACACAGCCACAGGGAGAGCCGTGAGAACTTGTCTGGAGGTGGGAATATGTGGCTAGGTTTTGTTGCTAGCTGGCGCCTTGCTATCAGTGGACTTCCACCAGGGACGATTTGGGCCCACCGGGTTTTAAACAGCACTTTTATTGATGAAAATTGCCATTTTTGGAAAAGTGAAGCATTTTTGTTTCTGGCTAGGTTGTTCAGAGGCACAAGCAAAGACACGTTCAGCTTTGACTCAGTCTCAAGAAGTATCCCTCCCCTCTCCCCCTTAGGTGCCTTGAAACATCCCAGCCTAAGTGCTCAGTCTGCTGCCAGATGACAACACGGAGCTACTTGGACATCCCCCGTGGTTTCTCTGCTTAATGAGCAGTTTGGCTCGGGACATGATCACTTGGTTAATGGGGGCCCATAAAGTACCTCTGCATCTGCTCTCAGGGCATAATTCAAGTCTGTGTGCAAGCAACAGAGGTTGTACACCCAGAGTTGACGTGGAAGGGTTATTGCACATTGGATTTGGCTGGCTTTGCTCGTTTATGATGGATAACTGTGACCCAGAAAGGTGTGCGCGCAAGGGGGGAATTAGTTACTGTTTTTAAGTGCTGTCACCTCCTCTCTTTTCTTTCCCGGAGCACCGCCAAGGGGGCCTCAGCCGCTCTGTCCTGATGAGCTGCGTAGCCAAGGCTAACACGTCGGAGGATGCGTTGAACCTCATGCTTAAAATCTTCAACCAACCTCTAGCTATTAGGGATTCAGTGGGGACCTAATGTGGGCAGACAGACCATCCCACAGCTGCCTGACATGAGGTTTCTTGCACCCATTTTAGAGCCCTTTGGCACCGGCCGCTGTTGAACACAGGCTGTGAGGCTGGGTTGACCACAGATAGGATCTGGTGTGGCACCTCCTCTGCGCCCAACACCTCGCAGCAGTGTGGTGAGATGAATTTTGCAGGTGGCTGTTGCAGTCCCATTAATGCCCAACGGCCGGAAGCTTTCATCTGAGCGCGCTGGGATCGGCCGCTGGCATTGCCGGAGCGACGTAGGAGACTCCGGCAACGTGACGGGGAAGGAGGGACCCTGCGTAGTTTCTCCCATTGTTTGCCAGTGTATTTGTACAGATGGGTTTTTGCCCATGCAAACAGCTAATCACCATAATCACGTAGCCTTTACTACAGGTGTCTGTTCCTCGCAGATTGACGAGTCATAATATCATAGGACTATAGAAATTGGAGGAGGAGAGACCCATTAGGTCATCATCAGTCCCATCCTGCCCAGCTGGCTTGCTCCCCGTGGTGTATTCTCCAGGGCCATCCAATTTAGCTTTCAATATGCACAGCGAGGGAGCCTCCCACCGCTTCTGTGGGGAGAGCAGTCTGTGGCTTAACCCCAGGCAATGTTCCCTAGCTTGTATTTTTTTCCATCTCTCCTGACTGACTGTTTTTTGCAATAGGCAGAGGGGGGGAAGCTCCCGTCTTAGCAGCATCCCAGGCTGCAGCAGCTTATTTATATTTCATGAATCTGGGCTTCCCTTGCTTGCCAAATGGCCCCTCTGCACTGTTCTCCTGTCTGGTATCACACAGCCACAATAAAACCCTGCGCAGAGGAGAGGAAGTAGCAGCCAGGAGCCAAGCTGGGGATTTTCCACTCTTCGCTGCCCTGCCTTCATTTGCTCTGAGCTGAGCGCGAGCCGTCCACATGTTTGTCACCGAGGGCCGATATTTATAATGCCTCTACAGACAGCATCGTAACTCAGATATGACACGACCGCCGCGATACAGAAAGCCCTTTTAAAGGGATTTGCTTGGTGTAAGCAGGGTAGTTTATCCTCCTTTGCATTGTCCCTTTAATCTGCTTTTAGTCTTCTAGATATCATGAAAGGGGAGGGGGGGTGGCATTCAAAAGGTTGCAAAAGCTTTTTTAAAACAAACCTGCCCACACATGCTGGAAGACACTGGTCAGACCTCTCCAGGTGCTGCGGGGGGGTGTTACCGTTTGGCAGAAGTCACTCTAAACTGGAGCAGCTTTTCAGTCTGGTCCATTGGGAAGATCTTGGAAATGCTAATAGCCCCCACCATGCAAGGCGTCTGTGTGCAAGTCCCTCTTCGGCACTAATTCGCATCATCTGGGCGTGTGAAATTCTCCGGGGCATCACGGAAGCCCTTCAGATAGGATGCATGTGGTATTTAGGCCCTTGTCAGCCTCTGCCCGGGAGTGATTCTCTTTTTTTTCTGTCCTGATGAAGTCCAGCGGAGGGTCTTCCATTGAGTCTAATGAAAGGCCATTACTTTTCAACCCCGCGTGGTCCTGTTCTTTCCCCCTGCACATCTGGAGTGCGTAGCGGGGAATGGGACTGGCCCATTGACCTTGTTAATGAGAATTTATCCTGGAGCAAAGCTTGCCCAAGTGTCATAAGAGGCCATGTGGCCGGGTGCTTGGAACAAATGAGCAGGGGCCAGAAGGCTCTGTGTTAAGCCGCTGTCTCGCTACATGACCCCTGGCACGTCTCCTGACCTTTAGCGCTTCAGCCAGTCCAGCTGGAAAATCAAGTAAAAGGCAGAAAGCTGCGTAACAAAGAGAGCATGCGGCAGAGCGAAGCTTTCCTGGCTCCAAATGTGTCTCTTGTTTAGTAACGCGCCGTATTTGTATTGACAGGACATAATGATAACACACCAATTGTTGCAGCCAGTCAAGGATGCCCTAGTACCTGGCAGGGGATTTCCTTAGGGATTGGATCTATTTCCAGCGCGGTTGTCGTCAGCTAATTTCAGCCGTGCTTTTGAATTCACAAATGAAGGCGGCCCTTTTGGCAGCAGGGGTGGTGGGAGTAGGTTGGTCCGTGTTTTTTGATGTTTTAGATGCAAGTAGATCTTAATAAAAATAAAAAATTCCTTCTTGGTTTCCTTCCAGAGATCGTTCATTTTGCCTTTTTCTTGATTGGTTAATTCTGCATAACTCAGTTAGCCGGTAGGCAGCGTGTGATGTTCCTGTTCTCCTCCCAGAATGAATGTCAGATTTCTCGGTATAATTCGCGATCAAAATTAAATTAGGCTGGATGTCCATGAGCAGAACAAACAATGCACCAGTGAACAAGGCACACTTCAGTTTGGCATCTAATTAATTGGAGTTCGTAAGAAGTCTTTGTCACTGTTTACCTACCTTTAGCCCTTAGAGAACAAAGTCTCATTCAGTCGTTACAATCAGCAAGATTTTCTCGAATTGTTTGGAAATCTGTCACTAGACTTTGGTGAATCGCCTTGGCTATAAGATATTGTTGTTGATCAACATGGGATTCCCTCCCCTGCTTCCCTGGGCTGATTTTCTTACGAGTTTGGCACACTTTGACTGTAAGGAAAATAATGGGAGCTGCTGGCTGCGGAGCTCTCCTCACTTCTGTTCCCAGCATTAGGGCTCTAGGGCCCGGCACTAGGTCTACACGGACCCGATTTGCACAACCAGAATCTTGTTTTGGCTTCAGGTGCATCTTAAACCGAATAGCCTGGCTTGGGCTGCACTGGTCCAGATTTGTCCCAGTGTAGGGGAGAGGAGAATTTGGATATGGGCACGCATTTAAAAAGGGAGGGTAGGGAGAATCCAGCCCTTTTAAATATTGTTCCTATTAGTAGCCCAGGATAGAAGCGCAACAGCACAGAGGTTGCAGATGAAAAGCAAGTTCTGCTGCAAGAGGGAATGCGAAAAGATGAGCTGCGGCTGGATAAGTCCTTACACTGGTTCCTCGACGTTGCGTTATTCTGAGCGGGGCACTGTGATCGGATGGGCTGAGCGCAGGCCTGGACTTACAAACATGCTCTGTCGCTTTTCTCTTCCTCTGTCTGCTTCCCTCAGCTGTAAAGCAGGGGACCGGACCCGATGATCTTCCAAGGGCCCTTCCAGCCTTACAGTCCATGAATCTAGGTTAACCTAGGTCCCAGGTGGGGTGGGGGAGACGTGAAGATTGAATAGTGATTATCTGAGCAAAGCTCTTGGAATACGTTTCACTCCTAAGTGTCGTTATGTGTCACAAATGGACCAGACTCCATTCAGTTCAGATTCGTGAAGACTGACTAGAGCACTTGAATATCTATCTATCTATCTTTATATATATCTATCTATATAGGTAGATAGATAGATAGATAGATATCTCTATATAGCTCTCTCTATATATAGACTGTGAGCTCTTTAGGGCAACACCTTGCAGCACAGGACCCTAGTTCATCACCAGACACTACTTCAGTCAAATTACAGTCAGAAAAACCGCCTCTCTTTTTGTCAACCCCCCCACCGCCCAACGTAAATGTAGAAAATGGGGAGTGCAGTGAATTTACAAGCAGCTCCTTAATCTGTAGCTTTTGTTTTTATTTTGCAGTTGAAAAGCCAAGGAATTCAGCTACACAAGCAAGAGGCCAGCCTGCTTTCCTAGAGGGAACAGGCAGCATCGCCCTGTCCAGCCCTTCAAAATGGTAAGGCAAAGGTACCTCCTCACCTGCACAGGAGTTGTGTTTGCTGTCTGCCTGCATCACATCATCAGAGCCATCGAGGTCCCTCTGGATCGTAAGTTCATAGATTTTCAGCTTTCTTTAAAAAAAGAAAAAGAAAAAAGGAGATTTGCATTTAACTTGCCAGAGAGCTGCAGGGTTTGATGTTAGAGCAAAGGGCAGAGGAGCCAGAAAGACCCGGGCTGAGGTCCTGTGACCTTGAGCAAGTCACTTGAGCTGTGAGAGAGAGTCAGGAAAATCAAGTAAAAAGCAGAAACTGCTGTGAAAGCCAGATGCTGTGTCTGAGCTAAACCTTTTCCACGGCAAAGAAACCCTGTCCTGATGGATCTTTAGCCTGATCCGTCATGTCAAGTGCAGCTGCGCAGGAGCCTTGGCATTTTCCTGGAACGCGTCACGTGAGAACTTGGATATCTTTTTGCGGCCTGGAAAGTCATCTCAAGGAGTCCCTAGACTGTTACGCTTGCTAAATCGTTTGGAGCGCGAAGCTATTGAAGCCCCTGTTTTGTGGTGGTGCTACCTTGCGCTTATAGAAGCACGGCTTGCCTATGGATGAGGAAGGGGGTAGCCCTCTCCCTCTGGCTAGGCTCCTGCAGAGATGTGCAGGGTAGCAGCTAATAAATTGTGATTACACTTCTGAGACGTGCTTGGCCTCTGCTGTGGCATGCAGCGTCCTCTCCTGCATTGACCATCCGGCCTCTGTTAAGTGCCATTCTGCAGGACGACCGCCTCTCGGCGCCAGCAGCAACACGGGCGCACCCAGCCCAATTTTACTGGCTGCTTGAAGGCATTGCTGCCCCACAGGTTACTCCTGTGTTGCGGCCCCCGACGGCAGGCGTGCCCCTGACAATTAAGAGATGCTGGAGATGTGCGGTACGAGCGATTGCCATGGATACCATGTCCAGGGCGCTCCTTGGCGGAGCAGAGCATCTCATTAGGAGCTCTCTCAGGCAGACACCGTCATCAAGGAGCCGATGGGCCTGGTCCCAGAGGGGAAGAGAAAAGTGGGTCATCAGGAAGGTTGCATGTAGAGCTCTGCCATTTCTGTCCCCCTCCATCAGGCCTTTTTGGGTTAATTACTAGACAAGGCTTATATTTTATTCAGGAGGCCGGGAGGTGGCATGCAGAACGCAGGGTAATAACGCTTCTGCCGAATAAGCTTTTTTGTCTTACCAGTGCTTTGAAAGCATGTTGGCTTCTTTGATCCTTTGGATGGGGAGTGTGGCCTATGGTTAGAGCATAGCACTGGGGATCAGTGCTTGCACGCTGCGCCACTTGGGCCAGTGATGTTGTCTCTTTGGGCCTCAGTTTCCTCCTGTGTTGAAGCAGTAGTGAATCTGAATATTATATTCTGTTTCTGTCATGTTTTTGTGTTTTATTGTAAGCCACCCTGAGCCTTCTTGGGCAAAGAGCAACACATACCTCTAAGAATGAAATACTAACCACCCCTACTTCCTCGCAGAAGTCGTCGTGACTGTAAAGTGCATGGCCATCATTGTAAAAACTGGTACAGTGGTAAGGCCCGATTGCAGGCTAAAGTCGCATGGCACTTCCTACTGAGATCTGAGCCTTTACGTTACAAAACCGTTCTAGTTGCAGCCACGCTAGACACGAGTGACATGCTCTGTTTCTTCTCTGTGTTAAATGGCAAATGGAAGGGAAAAGAAAAGCTAAGGCCAGAGTTGTGAGAGAGGCTTTTGGACGAGGTTTGAGAGAGACAGGAGCCACAGGGTAGACCTCTCCCACACCAATACGTGTGCAAAGAGACTACGGGGTGCTGATTCGGCAGGGTGCTGACACTGATTTCTACAGCATTACTGTGAAATGGAGGAGACCCCGTCCCGAGTCCCTGCTCTGCCAGCCTCAGAGGCATTTGGGCCGAAGGAGCGTTTAGCTGCCGCTGTTGTTTTAGCATTTGCACGCGTACTGAGGAAGAGTTTTATTTTGTGCACACAGTTTGGTCGTGTCAAGAACTTTAAAGCCCTCTCAGAAATGTCAGCTTCCTGCAATGGAAGCAGGGGCAGTGCAGCCAAACAAAACCTAATTGATTTTAAAAAGAGCTTCCTGCTGCTGTTCCTTGTGCTTTGAATGGAGGAAGGAGTCATTTTTGCCTAGTCAAGTGTAATGTGACCTTAGAAAAGTAAAGAGAAACACTTACAGCTTGTGCTGTTCTTGGAAGAATATTAATGGTTGCAGTGCCCTTTCTTAATAGCTTTCTACCTCTGTCCCACCTTCTATGCAGGGCACTTGCAATGCCTTGTTAATACAAGTTGATCCTCACAGCGTGCTGTGGGAGGTAGGGAAGTAACATTATTTTTTGGTTTGTCCATTGCCTTGGTACGTAGGGGCTGATCAGAGATAGCTGAATGCAGCTATACAAGGAAAACTCTCTCCAGTTTTGTCTTGCCAAATAGTTAGACACCACCATGCTGAGCTTTCATAGCTAGGAGCTAACAGTGCTAGAAGCATCCTCTCTTGGCATGTTATAAGCACCTTCTCCGACATAATAGTTCTGCTCCTAAGTGACCTGTCCACACAAAATCTACAGCAAAGCTAAGCTAAGAGCCAAGGCTGATCTCCCTTCATGGAGCCATTCTCTTCTTTCCCCATCCCTACCTGGATGGTGAGCGTTTTCTTTTCTGCCCTGGTCTGCGCTTGGTTTGAAAGCAGAATAGCAGCAACCAACCCTTCTTGCCAAAGCTGCAATGCAGACGGGGCCTTGACGAGACTGTGTGAAGCTAGAGGAGAAGAACCAAAGGGAAGGCCATTCCTGGGACAGGATGTGCCCATCTCCCCCGACTTCTCTCTCTCTAGGGAAACTCTAATCAACTCTGCGCCATACTGTGGACATGAAAGCTGTGGTTGCTCACCAAAGTGACCTGACCTGCCCTGCAGGCTGAAGAAACCCAAAAGCAAGAGTGTCCCAAATCCAGCAGTGCCAACACCCCCACCCCCACCACAGCCAAACTCAAAAGGCATCAAGTGTAGACCCCTCCACCGCAAGCATCTTAGAGATGCTGGGGAGTTTGGTTTTTAATCTCCCTTTTAACCCAGCCAGGGATTGCATCTCCCCAGCCCTCTTGTGGCTGCCTATTGTGCGTCGCTGAGACTGAACTAATGAATTCATCGCTTGAACTTGAAAGGTTACAGGTTTTACTAAGGCAAGCAGGTGGTGCATAAATAGCCACAGCTGCTCCTGGTCTGTGCTGGGCCCCGATAAATGTGCAAATTACAGGCACTCCGAGCAGATGAGCTCTGTGTGCCACAAACCGCGCAGTCTTCCCTCCTCCACGGAGATTAGCTGTTTTTACAGGTGCAGGTTTGTGCATGGTAGCAAAGCTCCATAGGGGTGGGAGGAGGCCTGGATAATAGATTGGGATGCTGACCCCTTAAGCTCCCTCTCAGAGAGCAGAGAAACAGCTGCTTGCGCGCAGCCAGTCCAGCTGGAGCTTTGTAGAAAGAATGGAGGTGGAGGCTTGGGAAGAGCGAACACATCTCGCTCTGCAGCCTTCGTAGCAAAGAGACGGCCGTTTTCTCCTGCGGTTAGGGTGACGGACGGGGAGCGGGGAGATCCATGCTCTCTCAGTGGCTCTGTTACTAACTCTGGTGTGACCTTGGAAGAGTCATTCCCCTTATGCCTCAGTTTCCCCAGTTTCTAAACACGAGGAAATTACCCTTCCTCTCTTTGTGGCGAGTCTTGTGAACACTGGTGTGAGCGTGTGCAGATTCAAAGCACTCTAGAAACAGCATGTAGGATTAATTTATGTCTTTGTTAACTGGCTGGTTTAGAATAGAGCTATAACACAGCACTTGGAGATGCTTTAGTGTCTTCCAGTTGTTCAGTGATGCACAGCGCATGGTGAATTCATGAACCAGCAAGGCTACCAAGAGCTACCGAAATATGGCTTCTTTTTAATTTTTTACCTTGTCCGTCCTTTCCACCTTACAAAAGTTTTACCTTAAACCAGAAGAGCATCAGGGAGGTTTTTAGCTGTTAGCAACAGGAGAGGGGCAGGGCAGGGTAACCTCACACTTGGCTCCGCTCTCCAGCAGGTCTTAGCCGAGAGCAGGCGCCTTCGACCTTAAGAATCTATTGAAGTAGCTACAGGGAGCTCTTAAACCTCTCTCCTGATCTAGCCCTTAAATAAACACCAGCACCTGAGAGCACAGGCCCTGATGAAGGGCTGATGCTGTGTTATAAAAGTCCTTGGGCTCAGCTAGGCTCACTGAAAAAGCCACATCGAGTCTTACGCAAACCCCACCGTGGTAATCTGATTGCTTGACAGCTGGCACCCTGTGATATACCCAAGGCCAGTGGTGCCGGCTACACCTGACCATAGCACCAAAAAGTTTCCTCATCTAATGTGATCCATACCTTATGTTGCAGAGGAAGGAGACCCCCTCCTCCCCCCCCTAGGTTTTTGCCATACTGACTTGTTGAATGAGGGTGAGGAAATGCCTTCCCAACCCCAAATCTGGCCATCAGTTAGATGCCCAGGCACATTGGTAAGGTTCACCAAGCAGAGATCTAGGGCCGAGGTGTTCTCTGTAGCACCTTGGAGCACGGGTCCCCTCTCTCTGGTGTCTCATCTCCAGCTGTGGCCAGTCTCTAGTATTTCAGAAGTTGGTAACAGGAAGGAGAAAGCCCAGCAGAATACATATGGCCAGTTGTACATCAGGGAAGGATATTCCTTCCTAACTCTGGCAGGTGACTGACTGGGGATGTGAAGAAGATTTGATGATAGTCGCTGGTTGAATTCAAAGCCGCTCTTCTCACAAATGTGTTGAGGACAATCCTGTTTTCCCTTTGGGAAGATTTTCAAGTCGTGAAGTTATGATGCAGAAAAGGAAGTATGTCCCATAGATGTATTTCTGTCTTGTACTTCGAGTGAAGAGGTAGGAGGGATGCATCCCCTACGATCCTGCAGCTGCAATAGCTTAACAGCTGAAACAAAGGAGGGTATAAAGCAGCTGCGACACCTGAATGTTTTCAAATAAACAGGTCAGAACTGCTTGCACCCATGAGTGTTAAAGGAACTAACCAAGGCATTTTCTGAACCACTAATATTGATTGTTAACAAATCTTTGAAAGCTGGGGGAGTTTCAGAGAGATTCAGTATTGCCAGTATCTTTCACATATGTTACACAAGGAGTTAACTGCTCAGCATGACACGAATCCCGTATTGGAAACAAAAGGCAGGTGGAGGTAGGGAGGGTGATCCAATCCTGGCTGTGAAGTATGAGGGGCTTTGGGACAGGGGCTTCTCATGTTAAATGAAGGTAAGTGGGTTCGAGGGCATTTTACAAGGTTCGCTTGAAAATCGCTGTGTTTTGATATGTATGGATTTGTAGTCCCTCCTTTAACCATGTAGTAATGTGTGCGTGCCAGGTCACTTGACTAACCGCTTTGCTTCTTTCTTTATTACGCTGACCCTTGGGAACCCACAGGAAATATTCAGGAAGAATGTAAGTCCTATTGCTGTCTTGTCTTTTTGATATATTAGTCACTGCTTCCATGTTGAAACAGGGTATAATGGCTCCAGCCTCCACCGCTGCATGCAGCACTGGGCACTGACTCATGCAAAATGCAGTTCAAGCAATTTGTGCATGGCTTGTGGAGGAGAGGCAGGGTATTTACACACCCACACCCACACACTGGTAAAGCAGAGTCCATAATGAAGGAGGTGACCAGATCTTTTAGGAGCATGAGCTGATCTTTGTGAGAAGGGAGTAGGGATAACACACCTGCTCCCCCCCACCAAGACCGGTCTTGTTGGCCATCTGCTTTCTTGCGTTGGCCACCCCGTCCAAGACTTCTGTAAACAGTTGAACAGTTCAAACACAGTGACCCCAAGGGAATGTTCTTTGATCTCAGTTACACCCGTGTGTGTCCGCTGAGATTCAGGGTTGTCCACCAGAGCAGGATCTAGCTCCTGACTTTAAACTGAGGCCAACAAATGACTGGAAGCCACTGCCCAGTTTGCACAGGCTGCTCACGGCTCTCGTGGACAGGCAGGTTCACCGGGTAGGTCAGGGCTGCAATTTTGGGTCCCAGCTAGACACAGCCGACTACTTCCAAAGCAGCGGTTCTCAAACTGCAAGTGGCGGCCTTTAGGGGAGAGGAGGGGCCATCAGCAGGTTTTCACGGTGCTTGTACCCACCCCTTTCAAATCATCCCACCACCACAACACCATCTCCACCATTTCCTTCCTGCTGCGCTTCTGCTTCCACCCCAAATCCCAGCCTCTCTGAAGTAGCTTGTTTTTTTTCCCCTTCGGCAGTGGAAAGCTGATGCCTTGGGGTGGGAAAACTGCCCAAAGATACAAGCCCCAGGCATATGCAGTGTTTCCTCTGACCTGTTGCCTGTGCTGGCAGCCTTAAATCTAGCTTTGGGAGGAAGGGGGTGGAAATGCGCTCCAAGGGGTATGATGAAGTTGTTGAGATCTCGTAGCCTAGCTGTGCTCCTAAGCAGCAAGGCTTGTCCTGTCTCCTGGCACTGTCGGAGGGAGGTCAGAAGCCGGCCAGCATGCAGTTGTTAGCTGGGCAGGGGATGGCAAGGGGGTTACGGAAAGCGTCTGCTGTACTTTCTCCTGCATCCTGCCTTTAAATTCTTCACTTGCTCTCTGCTCCCTCCGATGTGGGAAAGCAGGTCAGAGGGATCCAGGCTTAACTTAGCCTTAGTCAGCTCTTGTCTCCACATCTGTCACGTGGAGAAAGGAAGCAAACTAAGATATACAGAGACGCTGGCAGAGTAGATGTGCTTACAAGCATCTGCTCTGAAATGACCTTGCAGAGGGAATGGAGCAGAAGAGACGATGGAGGCAGAGAGAGAGGTAACCTCCAGGTATCCCCTGCTTTGAGGGGAAAGGGGGCTTAGACTGGAGGGGAGGCAGCTCCCAAAATGGTAACCCATCATGCGGGAATCGTGCTGTAGGGAAGTTTGGGAACTGCAGCCAAAAGGAGATTGCACTTCTGCTAAAGCTGCTGGCGTGTGCCAGCAGAAGGACAGTCTCGCAGCGGAAGCACTAACTCTGCAAAGAACTTCTTGCCAAAACTGTAGTTGGCAGAGAACTGTGTCTCTTCTGCTGACCTTGCTAAATAATGCACATGCCTGTCAAGATCTGTTTCATTTACGGAATGTGCAATAAATAGGATCTCTTCTCCGACCTGCTTCCAGCTCCTGGGCCTTAGAGGCCACTTCATCCTGGTGTGAATCAGCATCGTTGTTGACTTCAGTAGCAAGCGCGGAGTAACAGCTTGCTCCTGACCTGGGCGTTGGCGTGCTCTTCGGTGTCCCCAAGCCCCTGTGCTTGCACTCTCTTTGTCTGTACATGGAAGTTTTCAAGCCCACGCCATGTGTGCAATGTGACAGGATTGCTTTTTGCAAGGGCTTTATGCAGAGCATGTGTCCTGTCTTTGAAAGTGCTTCAGATGTCACTGTCCTGTTTGTAGACTTTCCCACAGAGACATGTTTTTTTAATATTCAGTTCCTGTCTGATAGTCTGCCAGCAGCAGGAAGCAGCGCCTTGAAGCTCGCTAATCAAGCTAAGAGGCCAAATGGGAAATAGGTGACGCCTCTCAGTCTGATGAGTCCCCTGAACCAAGCCTATGATTTGAGATGTATTATGAACAAGAAATCCAGCCAGAGATGGGTCCTAACTCCCAGCAGGGTCCCTTAGCGGGAAGGCCTTTGTCTGTCGTATAGACTCATAGAAAATGAGGGTTGGAAGGGACCGGAGGAGGTCACATGTAGTCCAACCCTCTGCTCTCAAAGCAGGGCCATCCCCAACTATATCAGCTATATCAACTTATCACTTGCCTCATTTCACCTTTCTGTCTGTGTGCTTTGCAGTGTCTCAGCCCCCCACAATTATAAAGCAGTCTGTGAAGGACTATATAGTAGACCCAAGGGATAATATCTTCATTGAATGCGAAGCTAAAGGGAACCCCATTCCCACGTAAGTGCCTTTTCAGCTCTTGTTACTTGATGTTCTCCACGTGGAGATGTTTGCTAACTTCAAGTTTAAAAAAAATGAGTTGGTTCTAAAAATGTTCTTGGTCTGGACACAAGTGAGTCATCTGGGATGCTCCATACCAAATCCTTTACGGTGCAAGTACGTGGTTAGTGTGTTCCCCTTCAATGGAGCTGTGCCGATTTATGCCGGTAAAGGGTATGACCCCTTACATTGCATGATATAGCACTTTGCTTAGGAGTTTAAACATTGCCCTATAAATACATAGTTTTAACATGAAAGAGATGGAGTCAAAACGTAGTCTCGTGAAGGTGGATGAGAGCTTTGCCCTGGTAGATGGCAACCCAGCTTCATGCCCGCGTTTGTGAGACAGAACAGGGAATGGGTTGCAAGTTACACTGCAACTTTGCTGCCACTGGGAAGGATCTTCGTGGCCTGTGGTTATAAAACCAGTGTGTGTCCAACATCTGCAGCTTTTCGTGGACCCGGAATGGGAAGTTCTTCAATGTGGCGAAGGACCCAAAAGTATCAATGCAATACCGGTCAGGGACGCTGGTGATCGACATCCACAGCAGGGGGAGGCCAGAGGACTATGAGGGGGAATACCAGTGCTTTGCCCGCAACGACTATGGGACAGCGCTCTCAAACAAAATCCACCTGCAGGTTTCTAGTGAGTAACTCAAGTTTGTCAGTCCTGCCTCCAGGAGAGTGCAGGCAGACCAGAGCCGTGGGTAGCCTGGGATTAGGAAAGCAGGCAGTGCAGGAGACATGCAGTTTGTATGGGAAAGAAATATTTCACCTGCCAAATGCCCCACCTTGCTCACTGTTTTACTCAGCTTTGCAAACGGACTCGAGATGTCGGGTAGTCATAAAATGCTCGCTGGCTGTTCAGCCTTTCCTTCTGTCCTTACCACTGCCTCAACACCCTCCGGGAGACCAACCACAGTACATGTCTCCTATTTAACAGTAATTCATGCTGTGCCCATCACCAGGGCATCTGGGCACATCACACCCAAGCCTGTTTGTAGCTGATCACAGCAGGCGGTCACAGTACCAGCTGTTGGATACGACAGGGCAGGGCATAGTTGTGAGCCAGAAGAACTGGGTTCTCTTCCCCTCCGCCTCACTGGCATGCCCCAGGGACCTCGGATAAAGTCCCATGCCTAGCTGTCTCATCTACGAAATGGAGGGAGTGACTCTTGCCTGCCCTACAGGAGCCTGCTGCCGTGAGGTTTGCTTTATCAACAAAGCTTATAAAACCCTCAGAGAGGGAGATGGTGGCCTCATAGAGCAGGGAGGTATATGCCATCCAAGCCTTGCAGGAAATGCATGCATATAAAAATAAAATTGCATCCAGGTCGGTCCAGTGAAACCAGGCCAAGCCCGGGGGAGGGGGGTGCGGTGTCACAGACTGATCTGTCCCAGCCTGCTCCGCGGAGTCTTTCATGCTCTTGTTTTATTGCAGAGTCTCCCTTGTGGCCAAAGGAAAAAGTGGACGTGATCGAGGTGGATGAAGGAGCTCCCCTTAGTCTGCAGTGCAACCCACCCCCTGGGCTGCCTCCTCCCGTCATCTTCTGGATGAGCAGCTGTAAGTCGGGACGGCAGTCAGAGACCTAGAGCCCCCTTTGAACATCCATTTCACTGAAGGGAGACGCTTTTTGGGTCATGTGCATTTTAAAGGAGAAGACCAACAATTTCCTTATGTTATTACAGCAGAAAAGACGGGGTGGGTTATGATCTGTGGCAGAAATCATCCACTCTCAGCCTCCCCCCTATTCTGTGACGCACAAGATGGTTGGAAAGCTCCTCTCATCTCCGACAGCATCCCGTGATCCTTTGTGTTCCCAGGGAGGGAGGTGGGAGTCGTGGGAGAAGTTTGGCCATTTTGTGGGTTTACAGCTTTAGGTCGGAGTGAAGACCACGTGGGAGGGGATCATCAGGGATCAGTGCAGGTGCTGTAGGGCTGATTAAAACTGGGGGGGGAGCATGGGTGCAGAGTGGGCTGTTGGTAGCTGCAAAGGGGTCTGAGAGAATCCCAGGACCATGAGCTGCTGCTATAAGCAGCTGCAGATCTTGCTGGCCATAACTGAACTTAGGAAGAAAGCTTTGGGCAAGTCTCTTTCTCGAACACTGAGAAATGCCTACGTTAGATGCAGGCGTGGCCCTGAAATCCCTACTGTCCTGCAGCACGAATTCCACTGGGATGTAACGAGGGCGTGTTAACCGAGTTGGCCCAGGAGGGCCCTATGCGTCTGTGGGAGGGAAGGGGTGGGGTGGGAGTCTGGCATCCTCTTTAGAGTTGCCTGCATTTTCTTTATGGAGCGTTTCTTGCTTGGCAGCAAAGACAAGAGCTGGTTGGCACTCAGCAGCTCTTCTTGGACTCCAGGGACAGCGCCTGGTGCCAGCTTCGGCTGTTGGGGTGTTGCGTCCTCCAAGCGCCAGCCAGCAGACGCGCGGGGGTTTCCAGGCTGATGTGTTGGGGACCCCGCAGGCCCGTGGCTTCTGTTTCTGAATGCCCTCCTCTCTCTCGCAGCCATGGAGCCCATCCACCAAGACAAGCGCGTCTCCCAGGGCCAGAACGGTGACTTGTACTTCTCCAACGTTATGTTGCAGGATGCGCAGACCGACTACAGCTGTAACGCACGCTTCCACTTCACCCATACCATCCAGCAGAAAAACCCCTACTCCCTCAAGGTCAAAACCAGTAAGTGTCACCTTACCTTGCCTCCCAACCTGGGCCTTCTTTGTATACTGCCTGCCAGGGCTCCCCTGTGGATGTCACTGTGCCAGAAACATGGAGAGATGGAAACCTCCGCGGCTCCGAGACCTCTCTGAGGGGGGAAATTCTGTCCGTGACGTGCAGAGTGACACGAGGATTTGTATATGGAAGTAAAGTTAGAGGTTGGACCAGTAACCCACAGGCAAAGGGATCTGTTATTCCCCGGGCACCTCAAGACTTCAGCCACTGACCGGGTGACACTGGCCTAGAATTAATGCTGTACCCATATTTCTCTAAGAGACCCCAAAAAAGAGTTTCATAAAGATGGGAAGTGTCGGCCCTCTATAGAGGAGCTTGTAGATACAAAACTGCTTGATAGGCAGATCCCTCTGGTATTTTCCAGGCTCTGTGTGTGACAGATAGCCTAGGTTTGCTCCAAGGTCTGGGGCCATGGGGAAGCTGCTTCTCTGCTGTGGACCTTGGGCATTTGTTGCTTTGTTTTGTTTTCCTGATCTATATGCAGCAAATTCTGAGTCTGAGCTACTTCAGGAAACTATGCCCTGGTGCAGTAATGGCCCAAAGGGGCTGGGACTCCAAGGTGGTGGGTCCTTCCTCTTGGAAGTCACCCAGCCTGGCCCTGACAGCAGGATTCCCCCAGGCCCAAGCAGACCTGTTTCAGTAATGCAAACCCTTGAATTTCAGTGACATTTCACTGCTTTAAATTGAGCCCATTGTTTCTATTTAGCAAGCTGGGAGGCGATCATGTTTGTGAACATGGAGGCAACTGGCACGTGTTGTCTCCTTAATTAACCCACGAGCCATACGGAGCAGATCTAAATTATTTACAAGCGATGAGCTGCGCTTAAGCGCCAAGGCTCCCGGCTTTAATAATGGGAAAGTTTACCTGATGGAGTCATCACGATGGCATTGGAAGCACAGGCCGGCTCACAAGTGACCGCAGTTTCAACCCAGAGAAGGGCATCCTCTCTAGGGGGGCAAAAGGAGCATGTTTACCATTCACTCTAGCTGCAGTAATGAGAAATCTCCTGAGAAGAGATTTGAGGCTGGAGTTGGGCAAGCTACAAACCAGATTATGACTTTAATCTCATTCAGAGTCCTCTACTGACTGCAGAATCCCTCCCCTGCTCCTGTGACCCTAGGCAAGCCAGCACTCCTTGACTTCATCCAAATATTCATTGTGCTGTTCCCTGTAAGGGATGTGCGTCTCTGCTAGCTCAGCCACAGGAAGGCATGGTGCACCTGCTAGGGCTGGGTACTAGCAGTCTCTGCTCTGGTCCAGGACACTGTCCTATGAAAGGAGGAAGGTCTCCAAAGCTGCTGCGTTTTGCCTGGGGTCTGTGGGAAGGAAGCTTACCGAGAAGACCTTGTCCTAACTACCACTGGGCATGGGAATCTCGGGAGGGTACTTGGGTCACATTCAGGACAGAGACTGTCTTACTCCAGCGCCCAGCACAATTCCAGTTGAGGCCTCTTGGTGCTGTCTTAACCAAATCCTGATAATCTGTAATAAAGGAATAGATGGTCAACATTAGAGGAAATTGCGGGGCATGGGAAACCCCCAGTGGAAACTCCACGAAACCCTGCTGCCTGAGCGAGCAGTGCCAGCAAGCGACCATCTGACTGAACCATTGCTCTGTTCTGCCACCTGTTTGCTGAAACGGAAATTTCCACCGTGGACTGGTCACCTCCGAAATGTGCGTGCGGATTCTGTCCGTCCACGGACAGGATCCGGTCCTAGGAGGTACCTTCAAGGTTGCCACCCGCAAGGACATTTGCTGCCATGTGCCAGCAGTCAACAGGCAAGCAAAATCCCCTCTGAAGCCCTTTCATCCACCTGTGACCAAAAGGCTGCTATAACTTCAGATGTTCTCTCTCTCTCATTTTTCTTTTTAAAAATAATCAGTCACCTTCTTTAAAAACGATACCTGAGGCAAGCACCACGGTGCATTAATTCAAGAGCAAGGAGCTTAGCTACTCCCTGTATGCATTTACACTGTGCATTCCCTCAGTCTTAAGACCAAAGGCTTCAAACAGTGATTGGAGGGACACAGATTACAAGAGAAAGTAGGCACAGCGTTTGCAAACTCTGGCAAAGACCAAAGATCTCCAGATCTAGCTTGGAGAAAGGAAATAGCACTGTAAACAGCTGTACTAGGCTATAAAAGTCATGGATGGGAAAATTTTGGCTGTACACCATCGGGGTTGGGAGCAGGGTCATATGCTCAACAGTCCAGCGCCTTTGCTGTGTATTTCTGTTCTCATTAGCAGATGCCTTAAATTGAAGGATGGCAATTCCAGGCCAAGCCTGTTTAATGTTACACCTGCCGGCATAGCTTCACATTGGGCCTTTTTCTTGGTTCCCTGTCAAGAGACGCTGCATTGTTACTCCCTGCTGTCCACTTGCTTTCTCGATTTAGCTTCTCTGTTCCAGGCAGACTTTCCTCCCTTTATTTCCCCCTTCCTTTTCTCGGCAGCTTGGCAGTCTTTCCTGCAGCCAGCAAGGTAGGGTCTATTTGAATGCTTCCATGCTCTCTTCCAAGAACAGCCAGCAGATAAGGGAGTTTGGAATAATTCGGAGTGCTTGGTACACATGATTTGAAGGCCTTTCTGCCACGGTGCGCTAGGCAAGCAGCCATCCAATTAATTGCAAGGGGGGCTGTGTTAAAGAAACATTTACTATAGCCAGAGAGGAGGAGCGATGTTGCTTTCGGAGCGGTACCGTGCTGTGACTCTTGAAACGGGTGGTGGCTGTTTGGAGTTGTTTCAAAGCGGGTGCGAAACACAACCCAGTGAGAACAGCTGGGCCTGAATCTGGTCTCGCAGCACTGTAAATTAGGAGTAACTCTGCGAATTCACACTGGCACAAAACAGGGTAGGAGAAACGCTAGACAGTGTGCTTTCTGCTAGACTTGTGCAAATCACAAGGCCAGTGACTGATGCAACCTAGATGGATCCTTTGCTGCTGGACGGGAATCCCCGCAGATCTTTAACCTGACCAGTGCTTGTTCATATGCAAAGCTGGGCAAGCAATGCAAACGTTTTTCCGCAGGTAAAGGGCTGAGCCCGGTTGGTATCAGGGCTCTATGTCTTATTTTATACCGCGTAAGCAAGGATCCCGGTTGTCTCAGATTTAAAAACAAATCCCCAGTTTTTGGTTAGGAAAAAAAAAAAGGTAACCCAACCCATATTTTTCCATCATTAAAATGAAACACCACTATATATAGATCTCTGTATTAGTGATGTTTCATTTAAATCGTGGGAAAGCCTGGATTTGGGGTTACCTTTTTTAAACTAAAAATTGGGGATTTTTTTTAAATTGGAGAAAACCAGGATCCCTGTACATAAGGAACAAGCCTGATGTAATAATCAATTGATAGGAATAAACTACTGATGAATTGTACTCACCCAGCTAAGAAGTGGCTACAAACATTAACCTGTGCACTGTAGCTATTCTTCATCTAGATGCCTCTAGAGCAGCCATGCTCTTGGGTCCTTTAAAAGGCTCATTAAGGCTGATGTCTTTCGGCTTCCAATTATACCAGCCTCTCTCTCAGGTCTTCCTTTGGAAATGTCTGCTTTATTATAGCATGCAAATTTTACCCCGGGAGCCCCTCTGAAGGCCCTTATGTAGCGTTTGGACTGAAGCTTGAATTTTCTGGCTGTTTATAATGATGAATTCTCAGTCCGTAGCACGTTGAATTGGGATGACTATATTTGTATTTTCGCAGCGTGTTCAGCACTCTCTGCTCTGTAAAATGGTTAGTCCAGCTACTGACAAATTATGACAATTCAATCTTCATTATTCATATTCCCTGTGTAAGGGAAGAAAATCTCCCTTGCAGAGTGTCGGCATTCAGCAGAAAGATACACACCAACACAGGGCTTTGTTTTACTACAAATCTAACTCAGCTTGATTCACAAAGATCTTGGGCCTCTGTTAGTTCCTTGTAACCCTTCTAGAAAGGATAACATGTGCTGTTGATGTATTTAAGCTTCAGGTCAGTGACCCGTCTTGTAACCAATGTACCGAGGTTTTGTACTGCTCTAAAAGCTCCTGTTCGATGGCTTACGTTGTGATGTTTCATGCCGAAATCTGATTATTCTGGACTCTCAAATCAGCATTTAATAAAATGCACGCTTGAAAATCAGGAGCCTGGATGCTGGGGTACTGTACATCAGCCTAGCTCCAGTGAGTCCGCCCAGGTTGGAGCTGCCGGGGATCTGCCCTGTCAATCGGTCCATCACCCGGCAGCGCGGTAATGCCAATTAGCATTCTCCATCACATTTGGGTGCTGAATTGCAATGATTGCCACGGAATGAGGGATGCAATGCAGCCGAATAGCTGATGTTTTGTACAAGACACAATCCACATTAATATCCTTTTAATAACAAAGGGATTTGGGAGCTGGTTATTTTTAAATCCTGATTTTGGTTCATCCTTATTGTGCCTTTCTGCATGGTTATCCTGTCACATAGCTGTGTCTAAACTGCTTTATGCTGGCACAAGATAACAGGAATACATTTCCCTTATCGTCAAGAAATTAAGACCAACTAAGCTACTTTTCTCAAAACTGAACTGGATTTTTCCAAGATACAGAAGCCGTCCTTGTACCAAAAAAGAATTAAACACTTCAATTCCAGTATTTCTTTTTTTCGGGTGAAATTTTAGTTGATATTTTATTTTTATCCTTTGATTTAATTATATGTCTTATAGGAGCAAAGCCATCATTCTCCCCGCCTCCCCCCTCCTTCCTTTTAATTACTGTCTTATGTTACCATTTCTCTGTCCTGGGCTCCTGCTCTTTTTTCAGAGTATTCATGTATTTCTGTTGCCAATCTGTGTTATTTTGATGTTCTTGGGAAATGATTTCGTGACCGTTGTTCTTGTTTCGTTCCTCCCCTTATTTGCGTTCTTCCATTTTTGCCTTCCGCTGCTCCGCGCATGCTTTGTCGCATTTGGTGCGCTCACGTTCTTTTGTTTATTGCAGAGAATCCCCATAATGAAACGTCTTTTCGAAATCACACTGACATGTACAGTGGTGAGTCGACACTGACTTCTGGAGAACTTCACGTTCTAACCCCTGTTTACCTAACCCAACTTACTCTTGTGTTAACACACACACACACACACACAAAAGTTAGCAGGTCAGTGAGACTGAAGAGGCAGTTGAGCTGACATGTTAGCCATTGACTGTCATGTGTGTACACTGCATGTGCGTGTGTCTGTGTTCCTGTTTCTCAGTTGCTACTTTTACCATGAGTTGCACAAAACCTCCATGTAGCAGCATGCAAAAAGAACTAAAAGCATCCTGAAATATCGTATAGGATGCAGGTGATTTGCAAGTTCAAGACAACCTGTTACCTGCATGGGCAGTGCTGAGCTATAGGAGCATTTAGATGAATGGTTTCTCAGGCCAAAAAATGTGGTTTGGCCAAATGGAGCAGGTCCCCTGTGGGCTGGATGTAAGGCAGCCCCCTTCGAGGAGTGAAAGACTGAAAAACAACACCTGATATCTCTCATTTCTCTCCATTCGCCATTTGGAAAGACAAGCGATTATATTTGCAACCAAATATAAGCATTGACTGGAGGAGGGAAGAGAAAGAGGGGTTTTGTTTCCTGAAACGCTTAGCGGTGCATTTCTTTGTAGTGCTGTTACGCGTGCATTGAATGTTTTCTGCAGATTCTTTCTTTCTTTCCCCTTTCTGTGAGCAGAACAACTTTCTCTGGAGAATACAGTTGTTGGGGAAAGCCAGCACTATCCTCATAAATTATGCTTTAGATATACAGTCTTGTAGCTCCCCAGGGCACGATGATCCCCCGTATATATTGAAAGTGTCATGGAAGTGATATGATAATGTAAACACCAGCTGGGGGGGGAAGGATTTATTTCATTCAGCGGGGAAATGGAGAGGGATGTTTGCACGAGGTGTTGGAAACTACATCATAACAGAAGGCAGGCAAGCCTGGGCAGAGGAACGCTGCGGCTCAGGACGGGGAAGGGTGCAGCACAAAGGCAACCGATTCGATCCCCCGATGCCAGTGCAGTCTGCATCCTTCCCTTTCATTAGACAAGTCACAGATGAAGAAGAACGCCAGGGCAACGAGAGATCCCTTTGTCCTGAAACCTGAGGAGCGTTTCTGCTTCTCCTTAGCCTTGCTCCTGGATAAGTCCCATCGATGCCCTTGTGCTTGGGAGCACGGAGGAGGAATCTGGCCTAACGCATGGTTTTACATATAAATATTCTTGGTGCTTTTGGCCTGAGCCTTTGTCTAAACCCCTTTGCCTTGGGTACTTGCTGCTTCTGGGCTCTTTACAGTGGAAGGAGGTTGTCCTGCAGGCTTTGGGGAGGACCTGCTCCACCCTGCTTGAAACTTTGCAGGATTTTCTTTGCATTCTGCCAGGCGGCTGAAGTCAGGAACAAGCCCCTGGAGAGACCCATTGAGACGTGGTCATTTCTGCCATGGCTGTTGCCAAATCAAATGAGACCACCCTGGAGAGAATGATCTTTGGAAGACCGTTCTCTCCAGTTTTGCAGAGATCATAAGAAAGGAAAGGGAAACCCCTCCCGGTCATGGGGACTGTCTGGAACACACACTTTTTCTCAAGAACTGGCGAGGGGGATTTGGTATATGAGAAACCTAGGCATGTCCAAGGAGCAGACCAGGTCCTTCCCCCTCCTCCCGGCAAGTCGCAGAGTCAGATGTGCTGTGCGTAACTGAAGTCAGGGATGCCCTTGAAATCAGAGAGCAGTGTTGGTGCCTGGCACGGATGGCTCTGAAAGGGGATCACAAGTGAAACGAGCTTCAGCAGAAGTTGCACGGTTTGATTCAGCAGTGGAGGTAGAAGGCGAGGACTCCTGCCTGCTTGTGAGCAGGTGTAAATCTATAAGGTAACAGGGAGAGAGCTCTGTGGGGACCAGTCCTTGCATCTTGCTCATCCTCAGTGGCCAATAAAGCCAAGCAAATGCTGCTTAAACAGACGTCTGCATTTCTAAGCAGGTCCCTTTACGATGCTTTTGCCTCCTAGAGCAGCCCAGTGAAAGGGGAAGGCAACAAGATCACAAATAGGGAGCACGGGAAAGTGAATTCTGAATTCCTCGCTGGGTGTACGCGTTTGCACAGGAGAGCCAAATGGAAAAGACTTGCAAGTCCTCAGCTCTGGTGTCAGCGTGGCGGAGCTGAGACCCGTCACTTGAAGTCCATCTGGCTTTTCCCCTTCCTCTCCCCTCGTGTTAAGTCTTACAGTCAAAATAAGGCTTCTCTCTGCCAGGCTTCTGGGGAGACCGGTTTCCACCATGAAAAGGTCTATACGGGTGATCGATCCTTCAGGCCGTGGAAGCGATTTCCACAGGGAAGTTAGACCCTTGCCCCCAGGTGCCCGTTTTCGGCGTGTATGTGCCAATTTGTGCACCAAGTTCTGGTGTCTCTGGGTGCCAAGCCCAAATATCCTCACTCATGCAAGAGGTCTCCTCTTTAATCTGTGGGAATCCTTGAACAAATAAGGGCTATGTATGCCAGCCCAGTCAGTAAATGGGCTCTTGAGCCAGACTGTGCACCTCACCGTGACGGCATCCAGCCGTAGAGGTCCTGGATGAACCGTAGCTCGATTTAAACTAATAACTATTGAGGTGAACAAGGAAAGTGCACGTCCCCTGGTGCTGCAGTTGTGCAGGCATGTCCCCGGCTTGGTGCGTATGGTCACACATTCACCCCAACCCAGGCTAGAAGCTTTGTGTCCAATGGAAATTTGGAATTCAAAGAATACAGCAGAAATGGAAGGAAAACCCTAACTCAGCCCTTTTGCCTTCCCTCAGTCCAGATTGAATTGCCTCTGCTTTTTGGAATAACTCGTCCACAGAAGCCTAACGTGTAGTGGAGCATCATTTCTTCTTGATGCCTTTGTAGAATTGCATTAACTGGTTTTGCACAGGGGTGGAGGAAGGCAGATGCCCCATCATGTTCTGAATGCTTGGAAAGCTGAAATCCTGTCACGTGGCTCAGCTCCCTCGGCAGCTTCCTTCCGTTGGTACAACGAAGAGAAAACGTGCGGGAACAGGGATCATGTAGCAAGTGGCCGTGTGTGCATACACACTTTAATAAAAAGTAGCTGGAGGCTTTTTCCCACCCCCACCAGTGATCTCTACCGGACAGAAGCAAGCCGGAGGCAGGATCTGCCGGGAGACTGGCTTACGAAGCAGCCAGATGTCTTATGCATCTGGATTGCATAATGACCCATTGCAACACGGAGCAGGACCTGCCACCGAGAGATGCAGCTAGGCAGTGGAAGGGACATTTTCATTCTGTTGGTTAAGATTTTGCCTTAAATTCCAATAAGAGAAGCCTCCATCTTACATAACTTGTGAAATTGGGGGTATCCAAAAGGACACGGAGAAACCACACAGCGTAAGACCCCAATCATGCTTTTCTGCACCTTGTCTCCCTCCCTCCATCTTTGAAACAACCTCTATATGCAGTCCAGCTAATGGGAGAGGGGAAGCCTGTTGCAACTGTGATATTTATGTCGTATCTGCTTTGGCTATAAAATGGCTACAGAGAGATCATCTGGAAGCAGGCTCAAAATCCCAAACCTCATTTTAACCTCGTGATGAGAATGCTTCGATCAGAACGCTCTCCCTTTTATTATGATTCTGGGTTACGTCTAAAAAGGTAGAGGGTCTATATTGTATTTTCCAATTCTAGTTCAGACACGGCTAAATTTATAGCAGAGGCATCTTCTGAATCTTTGGCTCGTTGTGGTGAAACAAATAGGATCAAACAATCATGGGGAAATTTCCTCCATATTTGGGACAAAACTGCCATAAGGGTTTAGCGTCCTGTAATCCAGCCAGCACTTGTGACCTTCTCAGTTAAGCTCAAGTAACAGGGGCATTTAAAATCTGTTTGTTTCCTTATGTAGAAAAAAGTAATAAATGAATGAAATAATAAAATGCTCAGCCTGGTTTGTGACGCACTCTCAACTCTGTGAACTCTGAATGAATTACTATGAACATCCACTTACCAGCTTCAACAATTTCTTATCTTTAAGTGAGGAATTTGACTGGAAATGGTAAAATTCTTCGCAAGCCCAAGAAATTTTTTTTTTTAAAGGTGGCTGGCTTTCCAGCAGGTCAGTAGATGCCGTTTCTGAATATGTGTATGACGCCTATTGTACAGTAGTTTCTTACCAGAGATGCTGTGCAAAATGATTTGCAATTTAAAAATCTCTGAAGTTCAGATAGGAAAAAACAGACGCCTTTTAATGGCACTGCCGCATGTAGGGGTGTGCACAGTGGAGATAAATGTAGCTTTTAAACTACCCTGACCACACCTACCTGAATGTGGTTCATTTTCATAGATGAGTAAGAGTAGCAAGAGCAGAGCTGGACAGTGAGCAGAACCCATATGTGAGCAGGAATGAAAAGCCACTTCCAATGTGTTTTTCCTCCTTTGTTTCAAATGCAGGAGTGAGGTTTTTCTAGTTATCTGACAGATTCCTCCTCCCCACTCCCACCACCCACGCCCAGCTATCCCACATCCAGAACTGGAATTTTGTCCATCTTGAAAGACGTCTGCCTGCACCCTATTGTAAATGGGAAATAATTATCAGTAGCTGCCTGCACAAAATAGATCCTTATTCTGAACTATGCAAGTATTTGTAGGGATCTTTTAGAAGAACTAGGCCAGGATACTAATTTCTCCTCCTTATTTTTAATTTTCATCATTAATATCTGGCTGGTAAAACTGGTTTGCACTGCTGCTTGGTTGCTACTGGTGTCTCCCTGGATTTCGAGCAGATTCATTGTAGAAGTGAGATTTAGCACCTGCTCAGACATGTACTGTATGGTGGTTACTGGTTTAAAAAAAAGAGCCACTGTTTGCTTAATCTGCAGTGTCTGACCAGCTGTATTTCCCTGATCTCTGTCATAAATAAGAAATAACTACAAAAATAGTGTTGCTTGGTGCAGTAGCTGGAAGCAAATACTGGTATTCTTCATGCCAACCACTGCGTTTGCAGTTTAGCCTACATACAATAGCATTGGGTTGGTACTGCTGAGCTGTTTTATATAGGAAGGAGAGCTTATCAGGAGGTAGGGAAGCACAACACCATGCATCAAGCACAACACTGTGCATCAACTGCATTGGTGAAGGTACTGTTTTGAAGGTAAGGTCACAACTTGTACATGGTGGTAATCCATTAACCAAGTAATGGACTAACATTCTCACCAGCATTTGTTGGTCATTAATCATTCATCTGTTGAAAGTCCATGTGATGTGTGTGCAGCTGCCTGGTAGACTCAGAGCCACTTGGGAAGCTATGGTTTGAGCTGTCAGTATTTTCCTGTTGAGGGGCCTGGTCACACAACCTGTCCTGTTGAATAAATGAAATGGATGCCATAAATGAACTTCCCCTTCTCATTCCTGCCCTTTCCCTACCAACACCAGGCTATTAGCCCACCAAGAAGGATGTTTTTCATCCTTCTTGGTGGGCTAATAGGATCCTAAGATGCAGAGGGGAATGCAGAATCTGCTCTCATACACGGAAACTTGCTGGGTTTAGCTGGCTTGAGCAGAATTCGTGATTGGTGCCGATCCTTTTGGGTCAGTGGGAAAAACTAGTTCCACCTGCCATATCCAGCATGGCAGGACCAGTTCAGTTGTCCCTTCCTAACTTTCACCTCTACCCTTGACTTCCTCCAGCTGTTGATGATCCACCCCCCAGTTGTCCATTTTGTTCTGCTTCCTAACACGTATAACCTGAGTTTTTGCTACTGCTGCTTTAAGTCCATTTCATGTTTTGTCCTCACTGATTGAGAGTAATAACTCCCGGCTTCGTTTTCACAGAGATATCTTCACCTAGACAGCTGCTGTGTCTCCCGTCAGTCGTTTTTCCTCTAACTTTTCCCTGGGTCCCTCAAACTTTACGCTTCAGTTACCTTGTCTGAATGTTTCTGACTTTCAACACTGCCCTCTGGGCCCTCCTATATTGTTTGCTCTTTTTTTAAAAGACTTGTCCATTTTAGGCCTAAAAAAGTACCAATAAGAGCCATAACTGTTGCATTATTTCAGCCACAGGCAACACTGTCATTTTTGTTAGCTCATTCCCACTTTAACACCCAAATCCTCTTGTGTGACACTACTGCCCAGATGATAAAAGAAACGTCCCCCTTTGCATATTAATGATCATTTCCTCCATGATGCATTTTGTCTTTCATTATTTTATAAATTCGTCCATGTTCCCCCACCAAGATCATATGTTTCCATACATGTAATAATTTATACCAAGGGGATGTCACTTGGCCCCTCTCCTCAGCCTGACTCTAAATGGTAAATTTTGTTTCTGAATTGCACTTTGGTTTAGGCAATCCACTAAATTCACACGTGTGGTTTCCTTACTGAAAGAGTCTCTGGAGCCATGTCAGTGAAGGTTGAGGGGTTGTATGCTCTGTCCACAGACATTTCTGTATCAGTTTTCTTTCGTCTGTCACCCTCATCAAGGAAAGAAACTAAGGGCCCAGTGTGCCCTTTACCTAGCTGCCCTGGCCCCAGTACGTTTGCACTGAAAGAACCGATGCGCTCTTCCGAGCAAGACACAAGAGTACGAGCACAACCTTAACATTACTGCCTGCTCACATGCTTCAAGCTGCACGGTTACAGTCTTAGCCGGGTCGAGGCTTATCAATGCAGAACTGCATCGATCAAGCCGAGTCAATGCCGGTTGCTCCTAACTTGGTGTGGCCTGGCATGGGTTTGACAGCCAGCTCTGCCTACAAGGCTTTTCTCCCGGCCCTCTAAGACGGAGGTGGCACAATGGTGGAGTCACACATCTGAGCGAGGCCAGCTTTGCTTGATTGGCAGAAGAGTCTAAAAACCTACTGTACAGGTTTGCATGAGGAATAAGGGAAGCTGACCTAATCAGCCCCATGTGTGCTCACTTTACCACGACAGTGGATATGGCCTTCCCCTCCAGTGCAAATAATTACATGGATGAGTAGAGTGTCTCCGGAGGCATATGAAGCGGGGCTGCCACGACATGAAATTAGTAGTGGGTGTTGCATTAGATTCAGGCTCCTCGTATTCTTCATCAGGGACCCTGTGGTACCCTCCCCTGCAGCTTTATCCTCTCTTTAGCCCCCTACCCTGCTCTTTCTGACTCTCGGCTCTCTACCACCTCTCTTTCATTCCTTGTCCAACTTTGGCCTGTCCAACTCTCTCAAATTCAGATCCATCCTTTAAAGTGTGCTGATCCCAAGATGTATCCACCTTGTCTTGTCTTGTCCGTCTTCAATTGTAAACTCCTCCTGGCAGAAAATGTGTCTCCCTCTTTGTAAAGTGTTGTGTATGTCTGCTGCCTCTCCCTCCCCTGATCCCCTTGCTGTATTGCTTCCCTTGGTTCAAATGGTCGTGTGCTGCTGCGGAGGAGAAGAATTTAAGTGGTGTGTTTTATTTTATTTGTTTTTCTTTTTCTGCTGATTTCAGCCCGAGGGGTCACAGAAACAACCCCCAGCTTCATGTATCCCTACGGGACCTCAAGTAGCCAGATGGTACTCAGAGGTGTGGACCTCCTGCTGGAGTGCATTGCTTCGGGAGTGTACGTACCCCTTGCGGTGGGCAGGAGATGGGCTGCAGGATTTCCCTTGCTGATTTGCTTTGTGTAACAAGCAGCTTGCGTGGCCTCTGACGCTGAACCATTGAGATGAATGGGAAAGCAGGGTTGGGTCCGCAACACATCACTTCCCTTGGCATACCAAGTACCTATATATAGACTGTGGGAAGGGCGTGGAATCGTGCATGACAGTGGAAGCTGGTGACAAGTGTGGGAGGGACACAGACTTGGGTGGGATCCCTTTCCTTCTGTTGCTTTTGGACATTTTTCTAGATACAACGTCCAGGATACAATGTCCCCCTAAGTACAGTCAGCAAACAGGCGCTGTGACCTCCCAACAGGCAAACTTGGGCTCTCTGGCTAGCACTAAACCAGAGAGATCTGGAGACTTCCGTGAGCCTGAGTCTTTATGCAGTCATTACTTACACCAGGGCAAAATGCTACCAAATCATAATGGTTGCCTTTTACCTTGCCTTTCACTGCAGTAAATGACTGCACAAAGTACGTGGTAGGGAACAGCTGCGTTTTCAGCCCCTCTGGCTATACCCGTGGACTACTGTTTTTTCTTTTTTTAATTGGTGTTAAAATACCACAATATTTAGAAGCTTTAGAAAGATGAGAAAAGAAATTGCAAACAAACAGGGAAGCAATATCTTGAGCAGTGTTTGCACACAGGCAGGGATGTCTTGCCTGTCATCTTGAATTGGATGATTCCCAGAAGACTTGTCATCATTACAGGTATTTGCAAATCTCATAGGCTTTCCTTATAACACCACAGAAGCCATGCATGACAATAGCTCTGTGAAACCCTGTGAAAGCAGTATATTGACACCAGGCTTGAGATTTGTCAAAGCAGCCTAAAGGGATTAAAACCAATAGAAGCTGGGATTCAAAATCCCTAAAATGACTAGGACAATCTCAACCCTGTGCCCTGTGTAATTAATAGCATGTTAGACGAACATCACTACTAATGTTAATGGAAACGCCTGTTATCACAGGCTGAGGGGGGGAAGCAGGATGAATCGCCTTTGAAACCCCCAGGGTGATAAGACCAGAGTGGACCAATACACGGGGGTCTGAACTTTGGAGCATAGTGTTTCCTGTACAGTAATATTTGATTTGTGTTGTGGGAGCATTGGTTTCTGATGTGAATCCTTTTCTCTTCTCCCGTTAGACCAGCACCAGACATCATGTGGTACAAGAAAGGAGGATTGCTCCCAGCTGGCAAAAGCAAGTTTGAAAACTTTAACAAGGCCCTTCGCATCTCCAATGTCTCCGAGGAAGACTCCGGGGAATATTTCTGCTTAGCCTCCAACAAAGTGGGCCTCATCCGCCACACGATCTCAGTGAGAGTGAAGGGTACGTCATCTTTCTCTTACTATTGACCAACCCATTAGAAATGGAGAGTAATGGCTGGAGGAGGGATCCCTCTGAGTGGCTTACCTATCAGAGCTGGAGCCAGGCAGCAAACTTTGGATCCGGATCTGAGCTTTCCCAGAGCTTGGCGGTGTTTAGATCTGGGATTCTGGTTTGCGCCTCTCTAACTGGACACACCTGTGAAGAGCCCAGAAGATCAGACCTGCCCAGTATCGTGTGCGTCTCGTCTTCCCCACTTCCTTTTAAGCTTGAAGCTCTGGGGGTTCAGACCTACAAGCACCCACTCAATGTCAGGTTTGGACTAAACCTCACATATGGGTGAAGCTCTTCAAGAACCAGAGGCTGGCACATGGTTTCTCCATGAAACTATGCAACGTCTTGGGATAAGGCCACTTACAATAGAGGCTTCATGATTCAGGCCCAATTCTGGGATTGGCTAGGAAAGTTTGACACTGTGCTGCTCTTGACTCTTTTGGTCTTACCACGCAGGATAGCCTGCGCCCATCTGTACTTCAGCTGGGAACACAGAGAACTTGACTTATACCTGAAGCACATCTAATATTCCCATGCATAGGCAACTGCTAGGAAGCTCTCAAATGGGGTTAGTTAATGATTGGAGTGGAATTCAGAACAGGTGTCAGTACATTTATAATCACCATGTGTCAATCTTCTTGTTTTAAAGCTGCCCCTTATTGGTTGGATGAACCACAAAACCTTATTTTGGCTCCTGGAGAGGATGGGAGACTGGTGTGTCGTGCAAATGGAAACCCTAAACCTACAATCCAGTGGCTGATGAATGGAGAACCCATAGAGAGTAAGCAACCTGAAGGTTTCGGGCACCCCAGGAGGGGACTCATTACAGAAACATGTAACAAAGCAGAAAGCATATCAGAAATGGCTTCTGGTAGGGGACTGATGCCCAGGAGTAATACTAAGCCTATTTCAAAGATTATCATTAATTGAGGTGTGTGCCTTCCTCACATCACCATCTTCATTGATACACCTATGACCTTTAAATCAGGATGTCACGCACCACTTGAAAGCAGCTTTGCTTTCCTGGCCAGTTTAATATTCTTCACAAAGACTGATAAGCTCTGGTCAGCCTAGGATACCGCAGATAGGAATTAAGCTTTTAGCTCTCCAGGCAGTCTTCAGGCTCATCAGGGCACCCCAATCTTGACGAACTGAAATGCCAAACTGAGTGTTAGAACTAAATGGAGCACTAGACAGGACGAGCCAAAAATAATGATGAACACAGCAATATTTCTGCGGCAGAGGGATGGCTTGATGTGCCTGTGCCCATCTGTGAAGGCACTACACAGTGCATAGGCCATCAGGCTGCTTGAAGGATCACTGGATAACAGGAAGGCAGGGTTGGAAGGATCCTCATAAGGTCATCTAGTCCAGCATCCTGACGAGCCCATCCCAAACAAATGTCCAGCTAAACTTGCTCTTGAAAATTTCCAAGGATGGAGAGTCCACAGCTTCTCTAGGTAGCCTATCCCAGTGCTTAACCACCATCATAGATGAAGAACCTGAATGATTTGAACATAGAAGCAGCAGTGTGATAGAATAGGTGTGTTCTTCATGGTACAGGTGATAAATACATGGCTTCAAGTCTCAGGTATCCCCAGGAGGGATTTGAAACATGATCTCCCTGGTCTCCGTGCAAATGTGGGTGGTGTCTGGTAATCTGCTTCACTGCTCCTGCACTGGCTGAAAAGAAATAGTATTTGAGGTGCAGGGGTGGCAATTATCTGGTTTATGGGGGTTTTTTCAGTCTTCCACTGGGCTGTGACCATAGCTAGATGTGAGAGAGGATGGCCAGGGCACATCCACCAAATAGTACTGAGAAATCTCTGATATTGGGCTGCTGGAGCTTGTTCATGAGCTTAGGGTCAGACTGGTTCGCACCCAAGAGGGAATTTTCTCCTGGTCACATCAGGCCATTTGGTCATCCTCTAGAGCCTGAGCTGCTTGCTAGGGTCATCACAGCATATTTTACATCATACGCTCCCTGCCATTGCAGTGGTCGAGGCAGCGGGGGTCCCCTTGTCTCTCCTGTTCTCTTCCTGTGGTGCTGTGCAGCGTGTTTCTGTCAGGTGCTTTGTGGCGTGTGAGGGGCCGAAGGGGAGTCACTCACCCTGGTGAAGGCTATGGGTATATTGAACTGCTCTCCTCCTTTGTCCCAAAGGCTCGTCTCCCAACCTAAGCCGCGAGGTGGCCGGAGACACCATTGTGTTTCGAGACACTCAGATTGGCAGTAGTGCCGTGTACCAGTGTAATGCTTCCAACGAACATGGATACCTTTTGGCCAATGCCTTTGTCAGCGTGCTAGGTGAGTGCCTAGTCTAAGAGAGTCGTAGAACAGAAATGCGTAACCCTAAGGGACGGTGTAAAAACGGTCTGAGTTTAACACAGGCATTGGCTTCATGGTTCATTATAACTTAATAAATATTGCTCCCGATTTCCCTGCACTTCACAGGTAATAACTACTCTCCTCTCCCTTCTTGAATGGTCTCACTCTGCCACTAACTAGATCAGCTATTCTGCTGTACTTCTTTTGTCTCATAGCAACTCCTTATTACACCTCCTCACACCTAGTTTGCAGAGCTCTCCTCCATCCCTCCAAACACTGTATTTGCATGAAGGCCTTCCTCTGATATTTAGTTCAGTTTGTGTCCACCTCTTTTGGGGACCTGAAGAAGGGCGCTTGATGTCCGATAGCTCATGTACCAGCTCTGTTATCTTTCTCTTACCGTTCCAATAAAAGATATCACAAAAATCCTTGCCTCTGGATGTGTAAGCCTCCATGTGCCATGCTCCGTAGCGCTGTATTCTGGCTGGGCAGGTACCTGGCATCCAAGGGTAAAGACAAGACACATTTGGGGTGAAGTGTGAGGCGGCTGCCTTTCTCCTTTTTGCTTCAATAGACACACAGGGCAATTCTGTGTCACCAGAGGGTGAAATGAAATCCCAGACTCTTTGGATATGCTCAGAGCTACAGTGACATGGCCACATAACTGGTTTTTGGATACACAAAGTTCAAGTCATGCAACCACAAGTGTTGACAGAAAAGTCAGCAGTAGAGGATAGAAAGAGATGGGGAGGGACAAGGGAGGGCGGCATGGGGCAACAGGCTGGAGATGGTTGAAGCCCTGATGGTGCAGACAGAGGAGGTAGATGAGGTTGAAGGCAAAGAGGGGGTATTGCTGGAGGGCGGAGAGGAGCTGTGGTTCCAGCTGGGGGATTTGTAAAACTGCCGATGCTCCGTGTGGTTCCAGATGTGCCTCCCCGGATCCTTGCCCCGCGAAACCAGCTGATCAAAGTGATCCTGTACAACCGGACCCGCCTTGACTGCCCGTTCTTCGGCTCCCCCATCCCCACGCTGCGCTGGTAAGGACTCCAGCGCTCTGTGCCGCCGCTTGCGGCAGGTCCTGGTTTGGATTGCTTCCTCTTACAGCCATTGCTTGTATTGTTGTGAGGTTTAAGAATGGCCAGGGCAGTACTCTGGATGGAGGCAACTACCAGGTGCACGAAAACGGGACTCTGGAGATGAACATGGCACGGAAGGAGGATCAGGGAATCTACACCTGTGTGGCCACCAACATTTTGGGTAAAGCCGAGAACCAGGTTCGTTTGGAGGTCAAAGGTAAGAGCACTGATGTGCAGACAAGAGCCCGATACAGCGCTGGTCAAGCACAGGCAACACCGTGTTCTTCAAAGCAGCTGATACCGCCATGCATGCAGGTTTGCACAGGCGGTGGTTCATGCCCACAAATCCATTACCGGGCTGGCCAGATTCATAGCTTTGCAGCACAAGTGATTGCACATACAAAATGCTAGGTGAATATTAACAACTGGGTACAGGCTGTTTTTGAAACAGGTGCACGATGGCAAGATCCAGCATTTCTAGGCAAGCTGTGCATGCCTTTGCCTTGGCTCAGGGTTAGTTGTGGTTATGTACTTTCCCAGCCTCATAGCAAAGAGGCAGGCTTGCTTGCCATGGGACCACAGACTTTT